TTAAAAAAAAAAATTTTTGGCAGAGATTTCTTCATCCACATCGATCGATGTGAATAGACGAATCAGGCTGAATGACAAAAAAATAATATTTCATGTTCCTTTAGAAGTGGGTGGATGCAGAGCGGTATATTGTAATGGTGGACATACCACACACTTTTTCTGGTAGAGATTTCTCCTCTTTTTTTCATTCAGCCCACAGGCTGCATTAAAAAAAAGAACATAGCATATCTACCCAATGAGGACCAGCAACATACTGGTACATCACACTTTTCTTTGAGTGGTTATACCCAGCATTATGCCTTCAACTGCAGGCATCATCCTGGTTTCATTTTTTTCAGCCGACGATCAGCTTTCATGTAAAAGCAAACCTAGTGGTTAAGCATTGCTTTTACAAGCAGTGGGAGAAGATGCCCCCCCCCCCCTTGCCTTCCACAGCTTTCTTGGGCAGTCCAGTGCCATCGGGGGAACCTTAGACTGCAGATAGTGTTTCTGACAGCTGACCATAGAGCTGATTAGAGACCAGAATGGCACCAATCATCTCTATAGTCTAAGAAATTGGAAGCTACAAGCATTTCATCACTTCAGATTTGCAGGATATAAACATCACCATTTCTAAATTGGGAAAGCATCTGATCCCACTGATCCTGGTGAGATCAGATGATGTAAGGGCAGAGGAGATATCTAGAGTCTAATAGACCCCAGATTTCTCAGAAAAGAATACCTGTCAATGCCTATTGCAGTCACAGGGGATTTATACATTCCCCGTGATATAACAATAAAAGTGACTAAAAAAAAATGAAAGGGACAGTGTAAAAATAATTAAATAAATCAAAATAGCAAATTTTTTTTTTTATAAAAGCACCCTCACCCCCGCGCAACCACGTGTGCAAGAGTTGACCCCGTGTCGATATGTAAACAGCAGTTGCACCATGCATATGAGGTATCGCTGTGAATGTCAGATCGAGGGAAGTAATTGTAGCACTAGACCTCCTATATAAATCTAAAATTGTAGTCTGTAAAGGTTTTTAAATCCTCACATATGGATATTAAAAATGTATGCAGTTTGTCATCATTGCATGGGGCGTGTGCAGTTTTTAAGCACGTTATGTTTGGTATCTATTTACTCGACATACCATCATCTTTTATATTTTTACCAAACAATTGGCCAATAAATTGTGTTTTTTGTGCATTAAAAGTAATAAAAGTGTATTTTTAAAAAAAATTTGCATTTGAAAAATCACTGCTCGAGTACTATGTGACATAAAAAATTGTAGCACCCACCATTTTATTCACTAGGGTGTCTGCTTTAAAAATATATAATGTTTTGGGGTACAGATTTTTTCCATGTGAACAAAAAGTGTCAGAAAAGGATGGGTCCTCAGGTGGTTAGAAGAGTGAGTGATGTGTGGCATAAACTTAAAAATGCTGGGCATAAAATGCCTCCCCCCAAAAAAATTACCCCTTTTTGGAAAGTAGACACCCCAAACTATTTGCCGAGAGGCATGTTGAGTCAATAGAATTAATTTTTTTACCACAAGTTTTTGGAAAATGACAAAAAAAAATTTGATCATGGTGAGTATTTTGCAGATATCATTTGTTGCCACAAGTTTTTAGAAAATGAATAAAATGTGATCTGCATAATACTCACCATGCCTCTTTTAAAATTTCTTGGGGTGTCTAATTTCCAAAAAGGGATCACTTGGGGGAGGAATCAAATACCACCAAAAGAAAGCACTATTTGTGTGAAAAAAATAACATAAATTTTTTTATGTACAGTATTGACCGCTCAATTGTCAGTTAAACTAGTGCAGCGCTGTATAGCAACAAATGGCGTAAATTCCAATATCTATACCATAGTTTGTAGCCGCTATAACTTTTACACAAAGCAATTAATTCACATTTATTGGGATTTTTTTTTACCAAACACATGTAGCAGAATACATTTGGCCTAAATTTATGTCTAAGCTGAGTTTACTATATATTTTTTATAACTGAAAGTAAAAAATATCAATTTTTTTTCAAAATTTTCGGTCTTTTTTTGTTTATAGTGCAAAAAATAAAAGACCCAGAGGTGATCAAATGGCAGCAAAATAAAGTTCTATTTGTGTGAAAAAAAAAGGATATAAATTTCGTTTGGATAGAGCATTGCATGACCGCGCAATTACCAGTTGAAGTAGCGCAGTGCCTGGTCAGGAAGGGGGGGGGGGTAAATCCTCTCTCAAGTGGTTAACAAATGCTGACAATATAGAAATCACTCCGGCAATCAGTTAAAATGGTGAAAATGTTACCCTTTCTGTTGTGTGTCTCTGTGTGCCACATGGAGCAAGGAGAAGGAAAAGAGCAGCAAAGAATTGTCTGAGGATTTGAGTACAAAAATTGTGGAAAACAAGGATAATCTCAAGGTTACAAGTCAATCTCCAGAGATCTTAAAGTTCCTGTGTCCACTGTGTGCAGCATTGTCAAGATGTTTACAGCCCATGGCACTGTAGCTAAAATCCCTGGACGTGGACAAGAGAAAAATTGATCAAAGATTGCAACAAAGGATTGTTCAAATGGTGAATAAAGAACCTCAACTTCCAGACAAATTCAAACTGATCTTCAGGAACAGGTTACGATTGTGACAGCTCGTGCTATACATCATCATCTGAATGAAAAGGTACGCTATGGCAGGTGACCCAGGAGGACCCCCACAGAAACATAAAAAAGCCAGATTAGAGTTTGCCAGAATTTACCCGAGAAAGCCAAAATCCTTTTTGGAGAATGTTTTCTGGACAGACAAAACAAAATTATAATTTCTTGGTAAAGCCCATCATTCTGCTATTTTCAGAAAAAGAAATGAGGCCCTCAAAGAAAAGAATACAGTCCCTACAGTCAAACGTGGTGGAGGTTCACTGATATTTTGAGGTTGCTTTGCTGCTTCAGGCACTGGATGTCTTGACCATATGCATGGCATTATGAAATCTGAAGACTACCTAGGAATTCTGGGGTGCAATGTAGGGCCTAGTGTCAGAAAGTTGGGTCTCTTGTCACGGGTCTTACAGCAGGACAAAGCACACATCAAAAAGCACCCAGAAATGGTTTAAGACAAAGCCCTGGAGAGCAATGAGTCCAGATCTCAATCCCATAGCGCACCTGTAGAGAGATCTCAAAACAGCAGTTGGGTAAAGGAACCCTTCCAATCTGAGAGACCTGGAGCTGTTGGAGAAAGAAGAGTGGTCCAAAATTCCAGTAGAGAGGTGTAAGAAACTCATTGTTGGTTACAGTAAGCAATTGATTTCAGTTATTTTTTTGAAGGGATGTGCTGCCAAATATTAAATTGAGGGTGTCAATATTTTGTCCAGTCCATTTTTGGGGTTTTGCATGGAATGTGTCAGATATGGCTTTTTGTTTTTCCACTTATTTGTATCATACCAATACAAGCAAAATAAATAAACACACGAGAATGCCTAAACATTTGTAATTGCAGCAATTTTCTGGGCGAAGTGGTGCATTATCTGACAGAAATGCAGGGGTGCCAATATTTTCGGTCATGACTGTATAGGGTTCCTTTCCAGGAACCTCTGGAGCAACCCTGACATGCGCACTCCCAGCCAGGACTACACCTGTATGTGACAACACACAAACAGCACAGATCAAAAGTAAGTGTTCTGGCCAAATGCAGGAAAATACCTTTATAATTACAGTAGAATTAATGACATGGAGCTAAAAGGAAAGACCAGTTATGCACTGAGAGTTTAATAAAATCCAAGCCCCAAGAATGGATATATTTAAAATGAAGTTAGTAGGCAGTGAATTTTTTTTTAACATGCAACTGACTCCCTATTCTCAGATACAAATACTGCCAACTGTCACTCCTAAGCCTCCTTTAGCCTAAAATTACAGATATCCTAGCTCAATTGCCTACACAGTAAATTGACATATATGTGACATATCTCTGTACAGACATAATTCCTTTTACAAATATTCTGTAAATGTAAATCACTTTTACAAGTATTTGTGTTTAGATTTAATGGCCTTTAGTATTATGGTTTATTAAAGGCCAACCTAACCCTGATTTTAGGTCTGCCTGACCCACAAGATGCCTACTTCCAATAATCCTTAAAATAACTGCCAATTATTTACCTGTGATCTAGAACACTTTCTTTCCTAGTCCATCAGACCCCTTGCTTCCATGCTACTTGCAGCCTAACACTGCTCCCTAGGGACAGGAACTGTGAGCAGTAAGGCCCTCTTTTTACAGTTTACTGATGAACACGGGATACTAGATTTCAAGTAAATGTTTTTTTTGTTTTCATTCTCACTCATAATACAAATGTTTTATTTCCAAACCAGGATGTACTTTGAAAATAGGCTGGTCCTGTTATATACTGTATGTACAGGCATACCTCAGTTTACAAACGCCTCGGTTAACGTAATTTTCGGTTTATGAATGAAAATCCATTGAAAATAATGCCTCGCTTTACGATTTGTTTTCGCAATACGAACGGATAAATTGGTTTTCAATGCATTTACTAATTTTTTTTAATCATGTCCCTGTGCAGTATTTATGCCTTTAACTACCTGCCGACCGCAGATAGCCGAATGACGGCTTCACTGCGGCCGGCCAGTTCTGAGTGGACGTCATATGACGTTCTCCCAGAACGCGCTCTCCTGCGCGCCCCAGGGGGCGCGCACCCGGCGATCTCCGTGATCGCTGTGTCCTACGGACACAGCTGATCACGTGATGTGGTAAAAGGCCAATCACAGCGGCCTTTTACCACGTGATCAGCGGTGTCCAATGACACGCTGATCAGAGGGAAATGCAAGTGCCGGTTCTCGGCTGCACTTTCCTCATGCTGTCAGATCGTGAGGAAAGTACTGCCGAGAACCGGCAGTTGTCAGAGCGGGGATCGGTACCAATCATCAGGGCCACTGATGATCAGTGCCCTGATGATCGGTGCCCAGCAGTGCCACCCGCAAGTTCCGCCCACCTGTGCCCAGCAGTGCGCCCACTAGCTCCGCCCACCTGTGCCCAGCAGATCACCCACCTGTGCCCAGCAGTGCACCCACCTGTGCCCAGCAGTGCACCCACCTGTGCCACTCTGCAGTGTCACACACCTGTGCCCAGAAGTGCCACCTACCTGTGCCCAGCAGTGTCACACACCTGTGCCCACCCACCTGTGCCCACCAGTGCCACCCACCTGTGCCCACCCACCAGTGCTGCCCACCAGTGCCATCCACCAGTGCAGCCCAGCAGTGCTGCCAGTCAGTGCCACCAGTCAGTGCCCAGGGGTTGTGCCAGTCAGTGCCGCCAGTCAGTGCCCAGCAGTGATGCCAGTCAGTGCCGTCTATCAGTACCCATCATCAGTGTCACCTATCAGTGCCGCCTATCAGTGCTGCATATTAGTGCCGCCTATCCGTGACACCTCATTAGTGCTGTCTATCAGTGCCGCCTATCCGTGCCACCTCATTAGTACTGCCTATCAGTGCCCTTTAGTGCTGCCTATCAGTGCCCATCAGTGCCGCCTATCAGTGCCCATCAGTGCTGCCTCATCAACGCACATCAGTGAAGGAGAAAAAATACCTGTTTGAAAAATTTTATAATAGAAACAAAGAAACTTTTTTTTTTTTTTTATTTTTTGCACTTTTTTTATTTATAGTAAAGCTCCCAGTGGCGATTAAATACCACCAAAAGAAAGCTCTATTTGTGAGAAAAAAATGATCAAAATTTCATATGGGTACAATGTTGCATGACCGCGCAATTGTCAATCAAAGTGCGGCAGCGCTGAAAGCTGAAAATTGGCCTGGTAAATAAGGGGGTATAAGTGCCTGGTAGGCAAGTGGTTAAAGTGCACTTTATAAAGAGTTTTGAACAGATAAGACTTTTTTTTACTTTTTTTCTGACCTCCAGAATGGATTAATTGGTTTTCAATGCATTCCTATGGGAAACCGCGTTTCAGTTTACAAATTGTTCGCAATACGAAAAGTCCCACAGAGCAAATTAAATTTGTGTACCGAGGTACGCCTGTATATAGGATGACACGCAACCAGTAGATTAATTTACAACATCTTTATTTAACCACTTGCCTACCGGGCACTTATACCCCCTTATTTACCAGGCCAATTTTCAGCTTTCAGCGCTGTGGCAATTTGATTGACAATTGCGCGGTCATGCAAGATTGTACCCATATGAAATTTTTATAATTTTTTTCTCACAAATAGAGCTTTCTTTTGGTGGTATTTAATCGCCGCTGTGCACTTTACTTTTTGCGCTATAAAGAAAAAAATCACAAAAAATTTGAAAAAAAAAAGTTTCTTTGTTTCTATTATAACATTTTTCAAACAGGTAATTTTTCTCCTTCACTGATGTGCGTTGATGAGGCAGCACTGATAGGTGGCACTGATAGGCGGCACTGATAGGCAGCACTGAAGGGCACTGATAGGGAGCACTGATAGGCAGCACTAATGAGGTGGCACGGATAGGCGGCACTGATAAGCAGCACTAATGAGGTATCACGGATAGGCGGCACTGATAGGCGGCACTGATAGGTGGCACTGATAGGCGGCACTGATGATGGGTACTGATAGCACTGATAGTTGGCACTGACTGGCATCACTGCTGGGCACTGACTGGCAGAACTGCTGGGCACTGACTGGCACAACCTCTGGACACTGACTGGTGGCACTGACTGGCAGCACTGCTGGGCTGCACTGATGGGCACTGGTGGGTGGCACTGGTGGGCACAGGTGGGTGGGCACAGGTGTGTGACACTGCTGGGCACAGGTAGGTGGCACTACTGGGCACAGGTAGGTAGTGCACTGCTGGGCACAGGTGGGCGGAGCCAGTGGGTGCACTGCTGGGCACAGGTAGGCGGAACTTTTGGGTGGCACTGATCATCAGGGCACTCCTCACGATCTGACAGCGTGAGGAAAGTGCATCTGAGAACCGGCAATTGCATTTCCCAGTGATCAGCGTGTCCTTGGACACGGCTGATCACGTGGTAAAAGGCCGCTGTGATTGGCCTTTTACCCCATCACTATGGTTCTACTTTGAATTTGAACTCTAACTAAACCCTTTTCCTGTCATGGATAAGAAAGTAGAAGGGTCAGAATATCTGTCAGTTTTTTTTATGTCTGTATGTGTTCCTGGTGTGCAGACCTGTCCTCACCAGTACCAGCGCAAGTTCATCTAGGGCTCTGGACAAGGATGCTGCTAATGCATGGCTTAGAATTGGTCTACCACCCTAAACCCATTCTCTTCTCCTTTGCTCCAGCTGCCTGTGATTTGCATATAGTGTGTACTGTGCATGTGGGGCCAATTGCTTGCTTTCCAGAAGCTGGAAGAAAGTTGCACATGCACAGTGTGTTTTTTGTGTCAGATGTGAGTGGATGGATTGGAGAGTGGGAATGTTAGAGTACAGTATGACAGCAGTAGCTCTAAGAGAAGACATTAACCAAGGCCCTCTGGTTGCAAGCCACTGACCTGGAGCATGCAGTATAGGGGCACCTCCATCCTTCCCATCATTGTTTTCGAGGCGGCTGCCTCTCCTGCCCACCCCCTGTCCTGGTCCTGGCACTCACTATTCGTCATGGTAAACCATTGCCTCTGACAAGATAAGTGAGAAAAACCAATAGAGGGGAATCATTGCAATGTAGATACTCATTTCAATGACAACTGTCAAATGTTGGACTTTCCATTGCTTTTGGAAAATTTCCACATTTCACCTCTCTGAAACAAAAAGGAAAATAAAATATCCCTGATGGTGTTTGGCTAGAGTTCCTTAACAATTAATGACTAGAGTGCAGAGTTAAAACTACAATCTTCCAAATGTACAAAAAACATTAATAATAATGAAAGCTTGTTCACTGTGTAAGCTGATAAATGGAAGTGTCTGCTTCTCTTTGAACTAAAGTAAAGTACTTTCCTGCAAAATGGAGAAATCCTTCTGGGGTCTTATGACCCTGATTTGTCTGTTGTCCTTACCACAAATACCCTTTCCATGCCTCATAATATTTGTCATATCCCAATCAAGCACACTGGTAAAATATTCTGATGAATCCCAACCATGGCACTATCTGCCTGGAGTTTGCATGTTTTTTATGTGCCTGTGTAGGTTTCCTCCAGATACTCCAGTTTCCTCCTGCACTCCAAAGACATGCTGGTAGGTTAGTTGGCTTCTGTCTAAATTGGCCTTAGTATGTGTATGTACATGAGATAGGGACCTTAGATTGTAAGCTCCTTGAGAGCAGAGACTGATGTGAAAGTACATTGTATACAGTATACAGTATGTAAAGCACTGTGTAAATTGACGGCACTATATAAATACCCGTAATAAATACATTATACAGTTCATATGTATCTCAAAATACTGTCACAGGTTTCTGTCTTGAACCCACCTGTGTTGCTGTCCTCAGCTGTTTCTTTTGCAGTATCTGCAGAATCAGTCTGCTGTGTATCACTTAGGTACCATTCTTAATTCCTGTTCATCTCTACCTATGCAACAACATCCCCCCTTCCTGGAAACCTGTCTCATTCTTATTCAGATGGGCTGCTGAACATTTCTGGTGTAATGTCCAAGGAAGTTTCCTAAAGTTGCTGAGTGCAACAGAAAATTTCCTTATCAAAGACCTCTTGCAGATTCTGATCTTAGGCTCCTGGTGCCATGACCTCTATTCCAATTTCTAAAACCCATTAACAACCTTTGCCTGCTTCTTAATGATCCTTAACCTTTCTTCCGTTTGACCAAGATTTTTTATCCCAATTCTTTGCCTCAATTTGTTTCTGCCAGCTGTAGCCTGTCCAGGTATATCTGAGGACTGCAACCTGAGAGTCATCTGCAGGGAAGCCCATCACTCCTTGCTAGGTGCTCTTGTGGAAGGGTGGCTTCAATAGACTCTGCACCTTCACCTTCTTTAGAGCCTCCATGCACCTGGTGGAGAGTCCATTATTTCTGTAAAAAGATATTTAAAAATGGTACAAGCATTTAATTAGTAAAACTAAAGGAAGAGTTATAGGTAGTTAAAAAAGCAGAAATCTAAAACTGCTCCCCTGTATGATATGAAATATAGCCTCCAAGAGTTGTGCCAGCTCAGTAATACTTTACTTGTTCAATTCCAAAAAGGAGACTTCTTGACTGTTATTGCGAATATGAAATCTTACATTCAAATGTTAACCAGATGCTTAACGGCTTGGCAGAAAATCTCATTGGCTTGGCTCATCTTTCATCGGGAGAAGTAATGCGTAATTGGTTACAAAGTATGAAACCGTTACATATTGCACAAATAATTCCATTCCCATATCTGCAATGAACCACTGAATATTATGGGCTGGGTTTATTTGTGCAGACATATGGTTTATAGCAAAATGGCCGAACAGTCATATCTTACTTCTGCCCACCTGCTGGTAATCTGGGAAATGAGGAAAGGCAGTTTAAAATCATGATGGTGTTATGAGATATAAATAAAATGTAGCAGCAGAACACATGGTAAATTAATTATACGCATACGCCTTGTAATGATAGCACGGCAGTAAGAGGAGGAAATGATGTGTGTTCATAATGCATCAGTGTACATAATTAGTCCAACAGAATAGGGCTCATCTACTTTGATAACTGTGGGTGTGAATGAGTGGAGGGAGAATAGAACTGATTTGTGATAGCGCTGCTAAAGGCTCAGGTGTGCTGCTGATGTGCCATAAATCTGGTAGTAAATTATTTAAGGATTATCAAGAAGGCATGCATTTTTAAAGGGAATTCGTGGTCCCTTTTTAAAGTTAAGTTATGTATGTGAGTGTGATCGGCTTAAAATAAATCTTCAAAAACTTGTTTTTGCTTTTTTTTTAAAAAAATTATAACGTATAGTAAAGACGTATTTGCTTATTGGATATGCACTCTGTGTTTCCTGCTTGATAATACTTTCCAGTGGCTGCACTATTCTTTTTCTTAAAGCAGTATTAAACCCAAAAGCAAACATTTTATATATTGCAGCTACCAATCCTTAGATATAATGGATGCATTAGTTTTCTTTTTCAGGCTTTCTTTCTTCTGTTTTCATCAGTTGATCCAGCCAGTGAGTCTGTTGTTTTTCAAAAGAGCAAGTGTTCTTCCAGATGTTTCAGTTTACAAGGATGAGACAAACCATTTCACATTGGCAGGGGCGATTACAATGATCAGCCTTTATTAATTTATGTAAAAACTGTTTGCTTTAACTGGTTATTAAGTATTAGCTGGAGTTTGGCTATAATTTGGCTATAATTTGTTAATGTATTTAAACCTGCTAGTGCATTTAAAGGATAAGTTCACATTTCGTAACATGTTACATGTTACACCCATACTCAGGGTGTAACATGTAACATGTTACGAAAGGACCAGCCCCCGATCCCCCGCTTCCCCTTTTTGACACAAATTTTAATAAATGTGGCTGT